CATCCAATAGTGAAAATTATGAATTCCAAAGAATGCACTTTTGAAAATTATCCATTAACTAGGGGAATCAGATTTGATATTTCTCACATGTATTTGATAATCATTGATGTAAGAAAAATGGGGTAACTTGTTTAAGTGAACTTTAAGTACTAAAATGCATCAAAATGCAGGATTTTGGGTGCCGGACCCCGCTTACTTGGCTTCGATTATTTTCAGGATTTTTAGGAAAGGGACACTTTCATCTCTGAAAAATAATTTAAGTCAGTTTCTAAAGCTCCATGATGAGAATTCTTCCATAAAATCTTTCAGCACGAGCTCGTAACAATTTTGTGCTTGTTACAGTTTTCAAGCTATGACTTTTAAAGTAGGAAGTGTATGTTAACGAAATTTGGCAGATTATCAGTAAACATTACAATGCTTTTATATGCAAAATATAAATTTTTTTGGTTGAGTCTTAAGGTTTGTAAAGCAATGTTTTTCTTTTTGAATGTTGCCTTCCCAACATGCAAAGGGCATGGCAGGCCAGGTGTTTAGGGTGCTTGACTCGCAATTTGTGGGTCTCGGGTTCGAATGCCCATCACACCAAATATGCTCGCCCTTTCAGCCATGGGGGTGTCATAATGTGATGGTCAATCCCACAATATTTGTTGGTAAAAGAGTAGCCCCAGAGTTGGCAGTGGCTGGTGATGATCAGCTGCCTTACCTCTAGTTTTACACTGTTAAATTAGGGATGGCTAGTGCAGATAGCCCTCGTGTAGGTTTGTGCAAAATCTATAACAAACAACATGCAAAGTAATTTTCATTTTAAGATTAAAAATACTTTTATGCATCAAAAAATTTTTAAATTTCACATGCAAAATTATAATGTCCAGACAGTTATCAAATGTTTCTTAAGAAAAAACTCTATTTTTTTTATCTGTTGTTTTCACTAAAAAATCTCTGTACAGGTTCAGGTGATTTGACTGATCTCGTAACCACCATAAAAAAGTTAGGAAATAAATATAAATTATGCCTTTTTCATTCTAGAATGA